CTCAGCTTGAGTCGAACGACCGAATCGCCTGACTCAGGCGATCCAATCGCTTGAGTCGTACGACCGCTTGAGCGGTGCAGAAGTGCGTAATAGCAGAATACAAATCCGGAAATATGCAGACTGTTGATTTATGAGGAGAGTGATGGTTAAGGATGATGTGAAATGTGGAGTAGTCAAAGAGAAGTGCATGAGGGGCATTCGATACGATGAGCGACGCATACGTAGGTATCGATCGCTTTTCTCCGCAGCGGAATTTGTGCATTTCGGCGTGTCCTGCGCATTGCGGCATATTCCGCTTTCTTTGAAATCGAAGTTTTTGTTTTCATTTTTGTTTTTTTCTACTCCCATATTTTCTGCAAGGGGGGTTATGTCTATTGATGTGTCTATTGATGGTTGCCAGGTCTGAAACTTTAAGAAATTGACGGAATGGCACCACCAGGAGTGGAGCCTGCGGCTTAATTGACCAAGCATGGGAAAAACCAGCCCGACCCGACACCGTAAGATTGACCAGATTGAAAAGCTCTTTCTCGATTTGGGGTATGTAGTGTGGCATGGCCGTTTCTTAGTTGTGGAAGCGATTTGTCTGGTTTATTACTAAAACGAGCAAATCCCTAGAATGCTAGAAATAGTGGCTGGATTTTTACGTCCCGTCTACTTCTTAGAGGGATAAGCGGTGTTTAGATGCACGAGATTGAGAGATCTGTGATGCCCTTAGATGACTGGGCAGTTTAAAAAAAGTGGGCGGAGTTTCCCACAAGCGGACCTAATGACACACTTTGCTTAGGCTTAGGCTTAAATTTGCCTAGGCTTAGGCTTAGTTCAAAGGGGCGGAGTTTTCCAATTTCTGAAAAAAACGAAAAAAATCGAAATTTTCAAAAAAATTCAATTCGGAGTGGGACGAGCGCTATTCCACCGAGGGGCGGGGGCCTGTATTGGGCTATTCTGTCTTCAACGGACCTTGGGAGCCACTTTGCATTAAAGTTCCTCAATCGGACCTAACGACACACTTTGGACGAGTTTTCCGTCTCTTGGGGCAGTGAACGAGTTATCCGTCTACATGGACGAGATTCCCCGTACCTAAAGACCCGTTTCCGCGAAAAAACCGGCAGTGGACGAGTTGTCCGCCTTTCGGACGAGTTTTCCGTCTCTTGGGGCAGTGGACGAGTTATCCGTCTACGTGGACGAGATTCCCCGTACCTAAAGACCCGTTTCCGCGAAAAAAACCGGCAGTGGACGAGTTGTCCGCCTTTCGGACGAGTTTTCCGTCTCTTGGGGCAGTGGACGAGTTATCCGTCTACGTGGACGAGATTCCCCGTACCTTCAAGAGCGAAAAAGGCGAAAAAATCGCGAAAAAATCACTAAGGAATCACGAAAAAAACCGGCATGGAGTCCCCTTAGGGACGAGTTTTTTGCTCAAAAGGGCATTATGATGCCCCTCGAGCAAAAATAGCAAAAATCCCTTTGCTTTCCGGCACAGGTGCCGAAAAGCAAAAGTACCGGCCCTTTTCAGAGGGCCAGTGGGGATGGGGCGTTTTAAAGCAAAATCCTTGACATTACCCACTACCACATCCTTAACCATCACTCTCTGCTCCATAAAATCAACAGTCTATGCATATTCGCGGAGATTGGTATTCTGACTAAATTGACGCCACTTCTGCACCGCTCAAGCGGTCGTACGACTCAAGCGATTGGATCGCCTGAGTCAGGCGATTCGGTCGTTCGACTCAAGCGACGCAATCGCTCCATCGCGAAGTCTGAACGCGGTCTTACCAACACCTTGTGAGCAGGGCCACAGCATTCGATGGGGATTTTGGTCGAGCCTGTACGACCCCCCCCCTTTTTTGGGGGTTCGGTACGACCCCCCCCTTTTTTTTGCCGTTCGGTTTTTTTTTTTCGCCTTAAATGAAACTATGAAACGCCCACTATGAAATTCTACTTGTATGAAGGTGCCCATACTAAATGGACGACTTGAAGTCATGACATAATAGAACAATACAGAGATGATTGCAAACAAAAACGGTACAATCGTATTATGAGAAACTCGTATGATGAACTTCTTCGATGGCCGTTTTGAAACACACATGGTAATAATAACGATATATCGCGATTAAATTCAATGAGCATTCGTTAACCTGAGGTGGACTCCCTCTCTGGGAGCGGCCATCAGCGACCACAGTGTTAACAACGTCTATCAAAGATGAGAGACGAGGAAAAGAGAAAGTTAGGCTTGTCTCACTACGTAACAGTTATACAAACCGCCGTAAAAATGCATTACCCCGATTATTGGAGTACGGTAGCAGAAGCGCATGTAATTGCAGATGTGACCGCAGATCGTTCGGCAATTTTAGCCATGGAGCGAGAATTTTCAGCAAAGTAGGGTGTCTTTGAAGGACCATAACTTCCTCAAAAGCGGACCTGTGGGGAAGAGGAGACCGTATCTATTCAGTGATAGAAAGTAAGGATTGCCCTTCCTAAATTATTAACTGGAACGTTTATGAAGTCACAAAAGTCAGCCAGAGAGAATCTGCCCATAAGGGAAATTTCCATGGGGAGTGAAGGGTTGAAGTTTAAGTTGAACAGGTTTGAACCAATATATATTTTTTTGTAACTCAACATTTCACAAATCTGAGAACGGATCCGAGTGTTTGAAGATTTTCTCTTTCTGAAAACCTCTTGAACTGTTTCTGAAGCTCTCGGATCAATGGAGATCGTCGCTATAGGCGATTCTTGAGGACAACACTCCCCAGACTGCGGAAAAACCGTTTCCTGTGTACCGTTTCAAGTGAGCGTGTTCGAATAGCCAGGAACGCATGTAGAACGTATCCTGTGGTGGAGCAGGAGCAGGATATGGTTCGTTTAGCGCCGATCACGCCAACTTTGGATGCGCCGCGCACTGAGGGCCGCGCAGAGGTGATGGGATGGTGCAACTTGTGCGTAATGTCTGTTCACGCGAGCAAATGTGTCTATAGGGTTCAGGGAGGTCCATGGCGAGCCTGCACTTGTTTACAGTGTTTTCCGTTGCGTATGATGGAACATGTCCCTGTCAACGCTGCCAGATTCGTGCTCCACCAATCGCTGACTCCGATAAAGGAGACCAACTGCTGGAAAACGTCTATACGAACGATATGGTAGTCCTGTCGCTTGTCGAGAAAAAAACAGGTTGGCTCATCAGCGCCAAAGCGTGACCGCGGACACGCCATATATCATTGGCAGCGAACCAGAGTTTGAGTTGTACTGTTTAGTCACCAACGGACTTACGAGATAATGTCGACTTATTAATATTTGCAGTTATTTCGGATTAGTTTGATGAATGAAAGTTTTGTACTATTTTTTTGCATATCCGAGTTCTCTACAAAGCAAGTTTCGTTGTACAGGACTCAGCACATTGACAATTTGCGCTGCTCGTTACTGGCTGCCGCACTCACTACGACCCCCCCCCCTCTCCTGGCGGCCAAATACGACCCCCCTGTTGGGGATTCCCCAACCAACGATGTGCCCTGTTTGTGAGTGGCTAGCAAAAGCAGATATCGATCTGGTCATTCGAGCGCACAGTTTCTCAGCGACTGCCCGCGAAACTCGAAGCTAGCCGCGAAAACGCTCGAAACGTTGCCGTGCGCTCAAGAGCTGACGCAAAGTATGAACACATCTTTACAAGGGAGTAGATTGATGCCGGTTTGTCCGAATCGTGTTCTCTACCTTCGCAAGGTATGAACGCTATCTGATTATCAGTACCCCTTTTTCCAAAAACTGATTATGACTACTTATTTCAGCCATATGATAAGAAATCTAAAGCTGCAAAAACTCCAAAGACCCCAAAGGTTATGAAAGCAGAAGTGGACACTGACTCGGACGATAAGGTACTTCAGAATTCTTGTTTCCATTTAGGGTTAAATTAAATGTTTCTTCACAGAATACTCCCCCACCGGAGAAGAAAAAGTATCGCTCGCCAAAGAAAATGCGGCCGATATCAACAGGAATGACCGCTGAGCATATATCCTTACCCGGTCGACCTGGGCGCAAAAGTATGGACGAGCTTATGCTGCGGTATCGGCAGAAGTTGATGACGTTCTGGGATCTCATTTACAATCACAAGGTAATCTGAAGAGC